CTTAATCTGTATGTTTATTTAAGCATGTCTATCTCAACAATCATTGTATCTGTCTACTTTACTCCAGAGGAATGCTGGGCCTGCATATAGTGATGGATACATTTCATCTTATTTCCTGTCTACCATCGCAGCTCCAGAGATAATAAACCAAAGTAGCAAAATGATTTTCTCCAAAAAAAGGGCTTGTAATAAATTGGTTACATGAACTGATACATAACTCATTGTTTTCACGGCATGTCTGGCAAATACAAGGCATATCTTTCTCTGTTAGGCAGAAAAATCAATGTTTGCCCTTCACAATATGATGAAAATCTAACAAGTAATAAAACCGTTTACGCGAATAGAAACACAATTGACACAATTCATCTCTCCTTTTAATGAAAAAAAGAATCAGTCATAATATCTATCTATCTATCTATCTATCTATCTATCTATCTATCTATCTATCTATCTATCTATCTATCTATCTATCTATCTATCTATCTATCTATCTATCTATCTGTCTGTCTAGAATGGATATATCATGCTAAGGCTCAGTGGTTTTTCTCAACCTCTGTAATCAGAGTGGACAAGAACAAAGAAAAAAAAATAGACTGTACTCCTCTATTAGGATGCCCCTGATAGAATCCATTCTGAGAATCAATGAATGAAGTAAAGTTGATGAGCTGTTAGATATCCAGTCCTGATAAAACCTTCGTAAATTCAATCTTAAGCTTTAGGGAAGGTGTTTGCAACAGTCCTACAATAGTCCTTCTTTGGGTTCAATCTGTCGGGCTAAAAGTACATATCATTATACCAGATAAAAGCAAAGCAAATGCCAGAGCTTTCAACCAGTCTTTAACAATGTGAGCAATATGATACATTTAAATTGACCCATGAGCAGTTAGGCAACCACAGATGGCTCTCATTGCACTACAGATGTTGTGCGAGAAGGGAGACCACCGAGAAACAAACAGATCACCCCAGACAGAAGCTTTGTAAGCCTACAGATTCAAAATAGCACTCTTGATGGGATGGCAGAAGGGGTGCAGAATAAGGGAACCCTTTTGTTATAATTTCCCCAGCATACAGACTATTGATGATATTAATTTACACACAATTCACAGGACCTTTTTGTTTTTTTGCCCCAGTAGTACTGATTTTCCCCTATAGAACAAAAAGAACAAAACATGACAACAGCACAACATCATCCATCAAACAATGGGAAGACAAAAATTGAAATTGAAAGGGCCTGCAGGGTGAAGTTAAAAATATATCTAAAAAGTGAGCTGCCTGAAGTTATTGAAATTTGTTATGGACAATTACCTGCATGTCTGCACATTTCAGACAGTTATCAACACTTATTCAATAGCTTGTATCACAGTACACATTGCATGCAAATATGTATTATAGGAACTACGTGTATTTTGCAAATCAAACAGTTGTCATATCTTGTCATATTTTGTATGTACTTAAAGTAGGCCTATGTATACAAGAATATTCTTAAAATATGCATCTTAAAATATATTTAGTATAAACTGCTGTAAAAAAAAGAAGCATTTTAAGCCAGTCTATGGCAGTTTGCTCGTCTTAGCTGGTTGTTTAAGCTGGTCTCCCAGTCAGGTCAAGCAGGTTTTTAGCTGGTTTAGCCAGTCAGGAATCTGGTTTCCCATCCTGAGCAGCTGATAAGTGCCCAAAACTCCTTTAAAACCAGCAAACTATACCAGCTAATCAGCTTAACCTGGTTACCGTACATTTTTCATTCACAATTACCCTTGCACACCTGCAGGTAATAGATATATGCGTAGGAGAAAAGACCAAAAAAAGTCAAAAATCAAGAACAAAAAGACAAAAGAACAAAAAGACTAAAGTCTTGCACATGTCCCGTATATATGTCTGATGAAGGTCAAACGACCAAACATCGCAACGAATAAAGCTATTTTGATACTTTTGCAGGTACCTGATTTTTTTTTATAACAATTTCTGTTCATCTCCACTGCTCTGCTACTTTTTTTTTCACGACTTTCACAAATTGGCTTTCCTCGTCACTATTTAAACAAAACAATCCTATCTTATGTTCATTCCCCAAACTACAGAAATTTCACATAGGAAATGCTGGCACGTGTGAATGGAAAACTCTCTAATCATGATGAGCTCTGGGAATTATGGGATTGCAGATGCATGTTGAATTAATCCTTAGAGCTGCTGGTAAATGTCCAAATGAATGTCTGTCTACTCCTCACCTTTCCTGTCCCTTCCTCACCTCTCAAGGGCGAAGCTTTATCAGCGGCAGCCAGTTCTCCCGCTCCGTCCGCTTATGCCCCAATCTGCTGCTGAGTTATAGGGCACATCTTTCTGGCACCTTTCAAAGGGCAGTGCGACGTGGTGTAGAGGCGGGGCCCAAGTCCATAGCTGGAGACACACCCCATCTGTCAATGTCAGACCACAGTCTACTTCTTCATCGCGCCGCTCTCCAGCTGGATGCCGCCTTCATTTACATGCACCTGTGCTGGTCGACACCCCATAATCCTGTCAGGTAAAAAGGTCTCTCCATTTGCAGTGTCCACTCTGTGATCACTATGCAATATAATAATTGCACAAACAGATTCGCTCCCAAGATATTTCCCTGAATATAAAAAGCAGAAAGTCAGTTAAAAAGAAAAGGTATGATTCAGACAATCAAGACAATTATTTTTAGAATCTGATTTCGATAACATATTAGGCCTGTTCATGGTTAAAACGCAAGTAAATTATACGTTTTCATCCCATTAGTGGTGGAATAATGACTTCAGACTCTCTATCTTAGTAATGAATCAATGAAGAGACAGGCTCTGGAGATTATAATTGAAATCCCAATTCACTCTGAGGCTTATCATATTCTTATCAACACCATAAGATACACACACAAAAAAATAAAGTTGGTTGTGAGATCCTGTGTGTCTTCTGTTACCTTGCTGAAGTGGAAAATCAGGTTAAAATACACCATTCTTGTTCCGTTGAAGTCAGTGTGCGAATAATGGGGGTGTCTGAATCACTTAATTAAGGCTTGAATCCCTCCAAATAAAGTTAACCAAAAGTTTGGCGAGTCTTAAACGTCTTTTTCTTTTTTTTCAATGTTTCAATTTGGGCTTAAAACAGGGCTCTGAACCAGTTCAAAGAATGAAAACAAAAACCAGAAACAAACAAAATTTTAACAGGAAAATAAACTAAATGAAATCAAGTTTAATTGTTCTGAACAGATACAATTATTTGAAATTACCAATAACCAGTTAATAGCATTATTTTATCATTCTGTTTAATTTTAATTTGTCAGTCAACCAATCAGGATTTCAAATAGTATGGCCTATGCAAATGTAACGTTGACGCATCCAACGTGAGTGAAATGTAAGTGCATTAAATGTAATGCGCTGGCATTAGCTTTTGGATCTCAGGAGTTTTTCCAAGGATATGCCAGCAACCGTTAAAGCATTCCATTTAAGTGAAAATATATGGCATGTACCGGTAATATCCAGTGTGGTGTGTGTATTGAAACCAGCTAAAATTTAACCGACAAAAAACGGCTAAAATATTTTTTAAATAATTAAACAAGTTAATATTGTGGCTTTATATATGGTCAGACACTTGCATGTGTCATTATATTATTAACATTTTACCTAAATCAAGCTCAATGGAGTTTTTTACCAGCGACTGTGACTCATTATCAATCTCTTTTTTCACTCATGGCATAGGCCTATGGAAGGAGTCACGAACAAGCAGCCAATTTCTGTTCACAAAACTTCTTCAGCTTTACGTTCTGTATGTTAGCTTTTATACATTGTCCAGGGATGGTGTTGCAACCATCCAATGAGAATATACAGTACATTACATTATATAGAAAGCAAGACAAAGAGAAAAACAAGTCCATATAAGGAGAAATGCATATGTGGCAGTATATGTTCTGGACAAATCCAGATCACCTATATCTGGGCTGGTTTTCAAGGAACCCACACAAATACATACATGAGAGTACATTAAAAGAGATGAGTGCAAGAACAAGAACAGCTTCTCCCCTCTCCCCTCTCCCCATCTTTCCCTTGTAGCCTATTCTAAAGTTAGCAAGTTGATACAGATGGAAGAAAGGGTTCACTCACCATCCTCACCCAGACCTCCATTTGCAAATACAAGGAAGCATAAAGTACATAATAAAAAAACAGTTGTTAACACAGAGAAAGAGAAAAAGAGGGAAAAACGTCAGGCTGGGAGCTGTATTGTACAGACAATTCTAGCTCACAGTAATGTTTCAGAATGAACCTATGAACAGAAACATAAAAATACTGATTCTGCTCAGAGCGAACTGATTGATTTTAAGCCCCTATTAAAAAAATGCAAACACCAGAAGCTGGTAAACAGACGCTTGTTAACAGAAATTGAGTTTGCCTTCATGGGGCCAGTTGCAACACAAACAAAAATGTATAAATTAAAAACAAAAATAATTAAAAATGCAAAATCTTAGTTTGTATGAGTATGAGTAATTATTTATTATTATATAGTTCATTTTAGATATAGTTCCTTAATATTATTTACAGATTTAAATATACAAATTATTTAATTTCATGATTACTTGTATCGTATTTCAATGAAAATCTTATTTATTACCTGCCCTGAGGAAGTAACCATAGCAACAGCAGAGTGTTGAGTGCATCACCATCAGATGAAGCGCTGACAAAAAACATAGTCATTACTTATCACTTTATTGATCTACAAATTACAAATACGCCAGAAAAAAAATCTTTAAAATAGTTTACAAAAATGTGACCCCCCCCCCCCCCCCCTGAAAGACATCAGCACACTGGTTGATGTACACTTTCTATGCTTCTCATAAAGAGAACAAGCCAAAAGCTTTTCAATCCACTGATTGGTATGCTATTGCAGGAAGGCAGGCTGGCAGGATTGCCGACATGTGAGAACGATTCCCTCATGCAATGTCACAGATTATCTTAAATAAGCCTGTCTAAGCCCATACCTGGCCAACCCACAAAGCCAATCAGTGTGGGTCTGAGGCAGGTTTTTGCAGCTGGAAAAGTCACTCATTTTGGAAGCACACTTAGTCATCTACATTTCTTTGAAGTCTGATATTATTCACCTCTCCAGCAAAAGCACGCTTATGAAGATTACAACAAGCATAACTTCAGGATATAGTCATCACTGCGAAGATATGTCAATTTGCATGCAGAGAAAATTGCATTAAAGGCTTTTCACGTACACAGAGAGACACCTACACTTGTTCCCAGCCTCAGATTCCCTGAAACCTGCCTGCTAACCTGCTCAGTGGCGTGCACAGACCTCCTCAGGGGCAGAAAAATTCGAAGAAAATATGTTGATACAATTATTAGAATGCATAACACATCAAATGAAAATAGGGAAATGATGCTAATATTACTAAATATTATTTACTTTACCAAACAAAACAGTGAGAATCAAGAAGGTAATTATGGAAAATTATTTTTTTGTTTTGTTGATGTTGTAAATTTAATGTATGTATTATATGTATGACAGACAGTGTTAGCTATCATGAATCAGTAACACTTTACAATAAGGTTTCATTAGTTAACATTAGCTAATAATGAACTGCACTTCTACAGCATTTATTAATCTTAGTTAATATTAATTTCAGCATTTACTAAAACATTAAAATCAAAAGTTGTATTTGTTATCATTAGTTAATGCACTGACTGTGACAACATGAATAAACAATTAACAGTTGTATTATTAACTAAGATATACAGTAACAAATGTGTTGCTCTTGGTTAGTTCATGTTAGTTCATACATGAGTAATGAACAAATGAACCTTATTGTAAAGCATTACTATGAAATCAAAGATATGAAATCAAAGATAAGTTCCTTACAATTTAGAGTTGGACATGGACTTAAGATTTCATTTAACCAGATGTATTTCCCCTTGCACTTTTATTCCTTGGATAAAAACGAATGACATTGTCACTCAGAATGCGTCTGAAATCGAGTTATACTTTTATTATAGTTAAGAATAACTTTTAGAGTAGCATGGTGATGGTAGGATAAATGTAATTTTCCATATTAGCTTTAACGTTACCTGCTGCTCGTTTGAAGACTCGCGTGAACTGCATTAAATGTGTACGAGGCACTGCAAAGGAAACTCTTTTTTTTATATAATATTTGTTTGTATTATTATTGTTAGTGCCAAGGGTGTGTAAGTGTATTGTTATTTATTATAATATTTATAATTATTATTATTATTTACAATTATCAGAAAAGGGCACAATACATTTTGAGACAAAAGGGGCAGGGGCTTGAGCCCCCCCAACCCCCCATCCACTGAACCTGCTGATTTGGGAAAGAGACACTTAAATGACTTAAATTCTCTAGGAAGTCAATAATGAGTTATGTAATGGAGAGGTCAGGTCTGTGATGCTGACCAGCCAATTTTAAATTAGATATGGAGAAAAAGAACATGTCAAGGAGAGAAGAACGGAGAGAGGGGGAGAGAGGTGACTGTGGAGGATACGCACCGAGGAAGAAATGCTGCAGGGACAATGGCGGAAACCGAAATGGAATTGCACCTCTATCAGACCTCGGAGCCCATTCCAGCCCTGTCGTCCGTGTCACTCAGAGCCCTGTCAGACACTGAGAATTTGACACCATTAGCAATGTAAAAGAGAATGCAGTGCGCGTTTTAAAGACTTCACACAAGCCTAAAAGTTATAGACATTTTATGTGAAGACGTCCGTGACAGTAACTGAGTTGATAGATTGCTGACGTTTTTCTCACAGCATATTAACAAAACCAGTGGTATATATGGAAGCTTGTTTCCACCACAGAATGAAAAATAAAAAAGGTAATAGCGACTTTTTTCTCTCACAATTGCGAGTTTACAACTCGCAATTCTGACTTTATTTCTCACAATTGCGAGATATAAAGTCAGAATTGATTGATATAAAGTCGCAATTGCAGGTTATAAAGTCAGAATTGCGTGATATAAAGTCGCAATTGCGTGTTATAAAGTCAGAATTGTGAGATATAAACTATTCTGAGGGGGAAAAAGTCTTATCTTTCCTTATAAAATCGGCCTGATAACTCGCAATTGCGAGTTTATATCTCACAATTCTGAGAAAAGATGTCAGAATTTCGAGATATAAACTCGCAATTATGTGTTATAAAGTCAGAATTGCGAGATGTAAACTCTTGTAAAAAGATGTAAAAACTTTTTTGTGATAAAAAGTCTCAATTCTGTCTTTTTTTCTCGCAATTGCGACTTTATTTCTCAAAATTGCGACTTTATATCTCGCAATTGTGAGATAAAAAGCCGCAATTATTATTATTATTTTTTTATTCAGTGGCGGAAACAAGCTTCCATAGGCTCTTTAGGTGAACCTGTAAATTGTGACAGCAGGAACCTTGTGAAAGCTTTACTGTGCGTTCGTGAGATTGTAGCAGCAATCCAGCAAATTTAAGATGCGTGAATTGGTTGAGTTAGGCCCGAGGTGACAGAAAACCACTAAACAAATACGTCCAATCACAAGGTGGAACTTTGAAATTCTACTTTGCATAATGAATATATCACTCATGCCTGAAATTGAGGTATCTTCTATAAAAATGCAGCTGTCATAGTTAGGGTGCATAAGCATGGTACATCTAAGAGCGCATACATAATGAACCGGTTCCCAACTTCCATTAAATTGTCAAGAACGTTAATATGCCATTCCTACAACCCACAAATCAGAATTTACTTGAGTTAAGGTTGGTTATGAAAACTCCATCATAGAGTGATATTGCACAGTATGTCGATAAACGATGAATCACATTAGCTACTTTTTAATTCTTATTATGCTAAAGTATAAATTTGCACAACCTTAGTTCAATTTATTGGGTTAAAGCAATTTCATTCATGGTATTTAACCAGATTTGCAGTCAATCACAAGAACATGAATGTACATGCATCACTTAAGATTAATATGCCGTTTGCCCTTATCTCATACATTTATTATAGGCACAGTTCCCCTCATGTGTAAAGGTTTATAGCATGTTTTTTTAAACATCCATCTCAGAGATGGTTCAATCCTGCTTTCTAAAGAGCAGAAGAAGAATGAGCAGCACTGAAATATGGCTTATGATTGCATCTTTCTCTCAGCTGCTGGCAAGGATTCTCCTGTTCTGAAGAGATTGATAATGGCAGATCTATACTGCTTGCCTATCATCTGCCCTTAATAAATCTAGGGAAAACCTGACAAGTAGATCTCCAATCCACATAAACACGTGTGACACATCTCTCTTGGGTTTTCCAAGATTGTGTGGGAGTTCTGTTCAAAATAGCATTCAGAGTATTCATTTATTCTTCACAGGGTTGGCACAAGTTTGAATTTAAGAACCGTCTAGTTCATGAGCTGGGATTTGAAATGGCCACATCATGCTGAATTTGAATTGGAATTGGAATGACAGGAAGAGGATTTACTGATGGAATCTTTCATCCTGCTATATGTTGTATGAGTTTTGAATTTTAAAGAGCATTCTGGAAAAAACTAATGTATTAAATAAAACGAATCGGTTACCTAACGTAACCTCGGTTCTCTCTAGATGAGGGAACGAGTATTGGGTAAGTTAGCTTACGCTACGGGAAAGATTAATCTTTTCTGAGAATTTGAAGCCAAAAAATTATCCTATAATTTTGTATCCATTGTCAACGCAGTTCAGCTGCAGCAGACCATGAGCGGGCTAGCTAGCAGCTCATTGGTTCGCTCACAGAGAACTGCTTAAGCCTATGAGGAGACACGAATGAACTCTCGGCCAATGAGAGTCTGACCTGCTCTCATTGCGTCAGAGCCCGCCGAAACGGGCGTGGTCAGAGAGTATAAATTAGCGTCCCAGGCTGTAAACTCTGGTTTTCATAGAATGAAGCGAGAACGCTAGGAGCACAAGCACGGCCAGGAACGCAATACTCGTTCCCTCATCTAGAGAGAACCGAGGTTACGTTAGGTAACCGATTCGCTCTCTTACGAGAGGTTCTCTCGTATTGCGTAAGCTAGCTTACGCTACGGGAACACCTGGTCAACGCCGTGCGTGCTAAGCATCCACTATGAGTCCCAGGGGAGACCCCGGGGAACCCTTATGAGTGGGAATAATTATATGTACCTGTGACAAAGGCCAGCAGAGCGGGCCGGGGATTGTGTAGTACATAAGCACATGATAGAGAGTGACAGAGCGAAAACCGGTCTGTGTGAATGACTCCCTATAGTGCAGCTCAACCAGAAGAGCTGTAACATACTAGACTGCTAGTAGTTTAGCCTGCAAGGCGGGAACTTCCAGATTGTAAAATCTGACAAAGGTGGAGGGGGAAGCCCATCCCGCTGCCACACAAATGTCATGAATGGAAATTCCGCTGGACCATGCCCACGATGAGGCCATGCCTCTAGTGGAATGAGCCCTGATGCCCAGAGGGCATGGCAAGTCTTTTGATGCGTATGCGGCTGCAATGGCATCAACTATCCATCTGGACAGAGTCTGTTTCGAGGCGGCCAACCCCTTGGTGCGCCCACCGAACGAAACAAAAAGCTGCTCGGATCGTCTGACCGGAGCAGTGCGAGTAATGTATAATCTTAGGGCCCTGACCGGACAGAGGAGATTAGAGTCAGATTCGCTATCGGATGCAGGCAGAGCCGATAGGGAAATAACTTGTGCCCTGAACGGGGTACCAATCGCTTTTGGGACATAACCATAGGTTTGAGAACGACTAAGGAGTCATTGGGCCCAAACTTGAGACCGGAAGCGCTACTGGACAGCGCGAGAAGGTCTCCCACACGTTTTACTGACGCGAGCGCGAGCAGAAAAACTGTTTTGATCGAAAGGTATTTGAGGTCCACGGTGTTTAGCGGTTCGAAAGGAGGGGCTTTCATAGCTTCGAGAACTATGGAAAGGTCCCAAATCGGCACCGAAGGGGGGCGTGGGGGGTTCATCCTTCTAGCTCCTCTGAGGAAGCGGATGACCAGGCCATCTTTGCCCAGTGACTGGCCGCGCCGGGGTTCAACGAACGCTGCGACGGCTCCCACATACACCTTGAGAGTGGACGGGGACCTGCCCTTGTCCAACATCTCTTGGAGAAAAACTAGCAAGGAAGGAACCTCGCATAACAGTGGGTCCAAGTTTCTGTCGGTGCACCATTTAGAGAACACAGACCATTTAGACGCATAGAGCCTTCTAGTAGAAGCCGTTCTAGCCTGCATGATTGTGTTTAACACTCCCTCTGGCAAAGCAACGGGTAGTTGTTGATCACCCACGCATGTAGCGCCCAGCGCTCTGGGTGGGGATGCCAGATCGTGCCGCGAGCTTGGGAGAGGAGATCTGCTCTGATTGGAATGGGCCACGGGGCTGTCTGTGACAGCTGAGTGAGCTCCGGAAACCAAGTCTGACCCTCCCAACGCGGGGCTATGAGGAGCACCGAGTGGCGTGTTTCCCTGATTCTCTGAAGCACCTGTGGTAGCAGAGAAACCGGAGGGAATGCATAAAGCGGGCGGCTGGGCCAGGTCTGGGCTAGCGCGTCCTCGCTCTTTGAGAAAAATATTGGGCAGTGGGTGTTCTCTTCTGAGGCGAAGAGGTCCACCTCTGCTCTGCCGAATATTCGCCACAGCTTTTGGACTGTAAGAGTGTGCAGGAACCATTCCCCGGGGGGAATGGGGTTCCTGGACAGACTGTCTGGACCGTTGTTCAGATGACCCAGCACGTGCGTCGCTCTGAGCGAGAGCAGGAGACACTGAGACCAAACTAAGATGCGTTCTGTCAGCCGGAAGAGATTCCTGGATCTGACTCCGCCCTGACGGTTTAGATAGGAGACCACGGCTATATTGTCCGAACGGATCAGCACGTGGTGACCGTGAATGCGCGGAAGAAAGCGCGTGAGCGCGTTCTCGACCGCCAGCATCTCCAAACAGTTTATGTGGAGGAGGCTCTCCTGAGCTGACCAGGGGCCGAAGGCCGGTGAGCCCTCACAGACCGCACCCCAACCAGTGTTGGATGCGTCTGTCGAGATGACTTTTCGGTGAGAAAGGGTCCCCATGGAAACGCCCCGCTGAAACCATTCTGCCACAGTCCATGGCTGCAGAGCTGTGATACAGGTCTGCGTTACTTTTATCAGCTGGCGGCGTGTGGTCCACACACGGTGAGACACACGGCTCTTCAACCAGAGCTGAAGCGGGCGCATGCGCAGTAACCCCAGCTGGAGCACCGCGGAGGCTGAGGCCATGTAACCCAACGCCTTATGAAAAGTTTTCAGAGGTGCGAGTCTGTTCATCTGAAAAGATGCGGCGAGACGCTGAACACGGCGCGCACGCTGTGTTGACAGACGAGCCGTCATCGTGACCGAGTCTAGCTCTATACCCAAGAAGGAGATAGTCTGACTGGGTTGTAGTGCGCTCTTTGTCCAGTTGACAGAGAGGCCCAAAGCTTTCAGATGGTCGAGGAGAACTGTACGATGAGACAGTAGCTCTCTCTGTGATTGTGCCAAAATCAGCCAGTCGTCCAAATAGTTCAGTATTCGCAGCCCCTGACTCCGCAGGGGGGCGAGCGCCACATCCATGCACTTCGTGAACGTACGGGGTGCTAGGGATAGGGGGGAGGGGACCAATCGAGCCCAAGGCGTTCGACGGCCTGTGAGAGGACGCGCACTAATTCCTCCTCGATTCCAGCGCGGGTCCCAGAGGATTCTCGGGCCGAGGAGGCGTGAGAACCCGACCATTCCTCACTGTCTAAAGCGAGAAGCGAACAGGTTTCCTTGATGTCCGCGGCATCATCGGAGGCGACAGAGCGGCCACTCGGCGGCAACTGCATGTCCGGAAGCGGCGGAGAAGGAGAGCGGGAGGCGACAGGCTCCGGCGGGATTAACGCTTCTAGCTGGGGTTCCGGCGGCCTCTGAGAGCGGCGTTTCTTCTTCCACGGCGAAGTCAGAGGAGCGGAAGCAACTTTAGTGGCCTGAAGTCGAGCCCGCAGGGTCGACAACGGCATGTCCTCGCAGAGATCGCAGCCGCCATCGGCGAGGGCGAGCTCGGCGTGCTCCAATCCGAGGCAGAGAGCGCAGATGACGTGGCGGTCTCCAGTCTCGACGGGAGCGCAGCAAGAACCGCAGGAGGATTTACGAGACATCTTTAAAAAGACACTCGGCTCTTTTAGATACAAAAAGTATAGGAAGCTTTTTTTGTAAAAAGGATACAAATCCGTCGGATGGCGCTAGCTCGCAGGACGGCTGAAGGTGGCGAAGACGGCCGGCTTCCTCAGTCTCCCAGATGCTCGCTAGAGTTGCCTTTTCGACGACGGCGGCTTCTCTCAGGATCAGCAGATGCGTGTAGCCTCGCTGAAGAGATGAAAATCAGAGTTTACAGCCTGGGACGCTAATTTATACTCTCTGACCACGCCCGTTTCGGCGGGCTCTGACGCAATGAGACCAGGTCAGACTCTCATTGGCCGAGAGTTCATTCGCGTCTCCTCATAGGCTTAAGCAGTTCTCTGTGAGCGAACCAATGAGCTGCTAGCTAGCCCGCTCATGGTCTGCTGCAGCTGAACTGCGTTGACAATGGATACAAAATTATAAGATAATTTTTTGGCTTCAAATTCTCAGAAAAGATGAATCTTTCCCGTAGCGTAAGCTAGCTTACGCAATACGAGAGAACCTCTCGTAAGAGAACGGAATATTTAAACTAAATTCTTATACTTCAATTACAATTACAAATTGAATTCAATTCTGAATGCTTTTCATCATTTTCTCCAGTTTCCTGCATACTGATATAATGAAAGTGGTTTAAGTGATTAAAAAAAGTCAAGAGGGTCTATTTGTTCTGTTCTGTCTGATGAAAGATCATTAAATGTTTTGACCTTGATACAGTCATGAGCTCAGATGAAAAATACAAATAAATGTGTGTGTGTGTGTGTGCAGCTGTTGACAGCAGCCAGCCTATAAGATCAAACAAGCAGTCAAACTGTCAACTCATTTCTCTTTTTGCCAAATGCGGTACTGTAAGTCAACACTGTGAGACATGCACGTTGTTTGGAGAATGCCTCTCACCTACCCTCATACCACAGATGCACATCACATTGAACTGCATCCTCACACTGCACTATAAATAATGATTGGAATTCAAACAGAAATAGAATGTAAAAATGTTACAGTAAAACATCCGTTTAGTTAATAGATAAGAATATACTTTTTTATAATATATTAATATAAAATATACATATAATATAAATAGTCTAAATATATTAAAATAAAAAACTTTTTTTTTTGGATGCAAGAGGTGTACCATACAGTAAATCTGTATTATATTTAACCAGAAAAATCATATACTTTAACGGAAAAATCTTGTGAAAAATTTTCTGAAGTCACATAATATCAAGAGACAAATATAGAAATAGTACTGGCAAGTGTACATTAAAAACTTTTTTTTATATTGTGTAATTACACTTACCAATACATAATCTACAGTCTTGGCTGTTAAAGTCTCAGTCCTAAGACTGACAAAAATGTTACATACAAAACTGTTTTTAAGTAATTTACGTAGTCAAAAAAAAATAAAAAATTAAAACGTCCGTCACCCTTACTTCACACTTCAGTAAAAGATCAATACAAAAGCAGTAGTCTAATGGACAAATTGTATATGCTATTACCTGTGGGGTCACGTAGAGCTCTATTTTGGGGAACACAGAGTAAGAGTTAACAGCCTCATAAACCATAGAGAGCCCCGCAGTCCTTGGGGTCAGCTTCTCTAGGATCACATCTGGGGCCCACATCCTTCAGTGTCACACATAACTGTAAATCAATCAGTTAGTTACATTCAGCCTCATCTTCTCCACACACGTCCATCACCTCAACAGCCGCACAGCTGTGGGTGATATTCCACTCCTCGCTTTATGAACATCTGAGCGTGCTATGGTTACAGTTGCCATAGCGATACAGAGGGCAGGGAATAGCTAAAACAGTTGCAAAGAAAGAAATTTTAAGCTGTGCCTCAAATTATATGCATTGCATGCATGCTCTCAGTAAACACTATATACTCAGCCATTAAATGTATGAATGTACAAAGTGTAGTATCGTTTCTAATGGAACACGAATTTTTAGTAACGTTTTTACATTCACTTTAAGGTTGCTGCTAGCTTTAACAAGCTGGCCAAGTATATAAATGAAATGAAGTGCCCCAAAATGGCTTTTTACATGTTGTACCTATTCACATGGGTGATGATGATAAAGCATTCAACTTACATTTGTAAAGCACGGTCTTCTCCATGTTTCGGTAGTTGCCACTTCCACCAAATTGAAAATAACTTGCCTTCTGCAACGGAGCAAAAACAATGGACATTAAGTGTATGAAGTGCCCAGTATCCTACATAATCTGGGCACACTTGGCATTTTACATCTCATTACATTTTAGTATGAACACACTAGTCACACTACCAGTACTTAAGGACAAAATATGCAAAATGAATCAGACCTTGAGTTCTTTTTGGTGTCCATCTACCCATCCGCTCTTTGTCCCTCCCACCTAGATGCGAACAATCATGAGCCAGTGTATACGAATAACAAGCTATTTAATCATCTTTAGTTTCCGCTCTACTTATGGATCCCTCAGCTGTCATCCTCAGTCTTCCTCTTATTGAAGTGTTTTACCCTAGCCTGGCATGTTCACCCATTAGCCATATTTATTGATGCAATATCTCACTCTGGAGACCCAAGGAATGAGAGTATGGCCCCCAGCTGCTTTGCAATAAGGCCATTAGTCTAAATGTGTTTGTAGAAACGTGTAGAGCTCACACAAAAGTTGTTACCGCCAGCCACAATTGCTGTATAAGTCAGGGACATTCACTCATAATGAATGGTTTTGGGAATTTTTGGAACCTTGTCTTGGGGAAATTCACAATACTCAACAATAATCTGATATGTAAATATTCAGATTCATTAGAGAACAGCTGATGACACTGTAATGATTACTGTGATAATGGATTCATTGCTAGGATTAAGACAAATCTTCTTAAATGGGATTTTATCCATCTTTTCCTGCCTAATAACTTTCTTTTTAAAACACATATACACACACAGCTTATCCCAGATCCTATGAAGTTTACTTCCATTAAGGTATTTCATGCTTGTGTGAAAGAATTATGTGACTTCCATTCAGATAGTAAGCAGTACTTTCTCCCTGCTTGCAAGTCCATTACACATCCATCATTTGCATGTTGTTTATCTGCTACCTGATTGGACGCTGCATCCCACAGTCCTCCATCCAGAGCAGGGTGGTACGTGGACACTGTCTAATTAAAAAGTTTAGATCTATCTTCCCAGTCTTCTGGAAAACTTTAATTCTGCTTATTGCATTTCACACTGCTGTTTTCCTGTTTTATTCAAATTTACTCTGCAGTTTATTTATTATTTAATAGCTTGAGAGGATTAAGTTAACTGATACAAACAAGGAGACACCGGTGTTTTTGTGCATGGATATACAAAATAATTTACCTAACTTTTTTTAGCCAACAGATATATTAATAAATAAACTGCTCCACATGATTTTCTCCACAGGGAATTAGGTAGCTAGAGGGTTTAATGGCAGCATAAAAAAAATCTCTCTGAGGTGAACATGGTTTGCTCAGGTGAAGTGAGGAACGTCTCTCAAGGGGAGTGCTTATGGTGTGTTGAGGGATCTGGCAATGCTGTGACAGCTGTGGGAGTAAAGTGAGTGAGCGTGTGAAAGCGAGTCTTCTGAGGTGTTTTCTACCCTTCTAGGGTGTCCCAGCGGCTTAACAGTCTGAAAGTGGAAAGTTTGAAAAGCTTGGACAAGGAGAGAGAAATATTCAATAATTTTATGTGGATACTTGGACATGTCATACGTTTTAGTATAACATCTGCTAAAATAAAGGAGAGAAAATTCCTGTTTTTTTATGAATATTAATCAGACCTCAGAAAGACAGTTCAGTTGAATTAATAGGACACACTGTTATGTTAAACAAATCAAATGCACTTTGGCAAGCAGAGTGCTCTCAATGGCTTTTCTACATCAGTTATTTAGTGTACACCACAGATTCAAACACAGAACTACAGTTCAGTACTGTCTGGTGATATAATTATTAATTGTGTGGTCTAACTTCGCACACAACCTGATCTCATTTGAAGTATTGGTAGATATTCTCAAGTAACATTTACACATCCATTTTTATACGTTTAAGAATGCTCTAGAACGTTTAGAAAGTTATGCTTTAGAAAGTTATATATAAAGGTATATAGGTGTATAGAAATTATTTTGATGGATGTATGGATGGATAGCGGATGCCACATGGTTTGATATTTTGTTATTTAACGTAGAGATGTTCAGACATTTGAACTGCGGCCTAAGTGTCCAAATGCTTTTTGCAATCACTCTGCAATCTCTCCTCCCTTATGAATCTGCAGACAAAAACATGGCACATACAGTCGACCTGGCGCGAAACCCAAATCAGCATAACGTTCAGCTCTGCATATAATTCCTCCGCACACATCCCTCCCCTTCTGTCTTCTCTTCTTCCTCCTCCGGGGTGTCAGGGGATCTTTTAACAAAACAAATCCGAATGCAACGTTGAATTATTTCCACTTGACTCAATGATGTATGAAGGGAGCACTGCAATTAGCAGCACTCTTTGATACTTCTCTCTCCAGTGATCTAGCAGACAAATGTATTAGCATCCTTGCACTCCCCTTCACCACTGCGGTCCACACATTTGGAGGTGGGTGGGAGTGAAATCTCAGCTAAACCCAAAACTGTTCAATGCCAAGAGTTGTGCGCACCTGGGAGCACCGGGCGTCTTGTGTTGGAGGCGAACGGAAAAGGGCTTAATGAATTATCCAGCTAGGTGGGAAGCAATTAACCTACATTAGTTTGTGATGTGTGCCTAGCTGTCAAAGAGTACACAAGACTGTTGCTTCTGCAGTGAACTTATACCAGAATGTAGCACAGCATGGGCTTCTGAACAGCAAACTTTCAGCTCTACAAGGAAAGATTGTTAACTACCATTTTTGGCATCTTTATCTTCAATCCAATCAATAATAATAATAATAATAATGATTTGTTACATTTATATATATATATATATATATATATATAGACTCACCGGCCACTTTATTAGGTACCCCATGCTAGTAACGGGTTGGACCCCCTTTTGCCTTCAGAACTGCCTCAATTCTTCGTGGCATAGATTCAACAAGGTGCTGGAAGCATTCCTCAGGGAGTTTGGTCCATATTGACATGATGGCATCACACAGTTGCCGCAGATTTGTCGGCTGCACATCCATGATGCAAATCTCCCGTTCCACCACATCCCAAAGATGCTCTATTGGGTTGAGATCTGGTGACTGTGGAGGCCATTTTAGTACAGTGAACTCATTGTCATGTTCAAGAAACCAATTTGAAATGATTAGAGCTTTGTGACATGGTGGAAGTAGCCATCAGAGGATGGGTACATGGTGGCCATAAAGGGATGGACATGGTCAGAAACAATGCTCAGGTAGGCCGTGGCATTTAAACGATGCCCAATTGGCACTAAGGGGCCTAAAGTGTGCCAGGAAAACATCCCCCACACCATTACACCACCACTACCAGCCTGCACAGTGGTAACAAGGCATGATGGTTCCATGTTCTCATTCTGTTTATGCCAAATTCTGACTCTAACATCTGAATGTCTCAACAGAAATCGAGACTCATCAGACCAGGCAACATTTTTCCAGTCTTCAACTGTTCAATTTTGGTGAGCTCTTGCAAATTGTAGCCTCTTTTTCCTATTTGTAGTGGAGATGAGTGGTACCCGGTGGAGTCTTCTGCTGTTGTAGCCCATCCGCCTCAAGGTTGTGCGTGTTGTGGCTTCACAAATGCTTTGCTGCATACCTCGGTTGTAACGAGTGGTTATTTCAGTCACTGTTGCCCTTCTATCAGCTCGAACCAGTCTGGCCATTCTCCTCTGACCTCTGGCATCAACAAGGCATTTCCGCCCACAGAACTGCCGCTCACTGGATGTTTTTTCTTTTTCGGACCATTCTCTGTAAACCCTAGAGATGGTTGTGCGTGAAAATCTCAGTAGATTAGCAGTTTCTGAAATACTCAGACCAGCCCTTCTGGCACCAACAATCATGCCACGTTCAAAGTCACTCAAATCACCTTTCTTCCCCATACTGATGCTCGGTTTGAACTGCAGGAGATTGTCTTGACCATGTCTACATGCCTAAATGCACTGAGTTGCCGCCATGTGATTGGCTGCTTAGAAATTAAGTGTTAACGAGCAGTTGGACAGGTGTACCTAATAAAGTGGCCGGTGAGTGTATATATATATATATATATATATATATATATATATATATATATATATATATATATATATATATATATAACACTTTTCTCTGCACTCAAACTGCTTTAGATAGAAGGGGGAATCTCCTCAACCACCACCAATATGCAGCATCCACCTGGATGATGCGACGGCAGCCTTATTGCGCCAGAACGCCCACCACACACCAGCTTATTGGTGGAGAGGAGACTGTGATCAATCACAGTGAAGCCAGTCAGTGAAGTCAATCAATTGTGAAGCCAATCAGTATATAACGGGATGATTTGGAGGCCATGATGGACAGAGGGCAATGGGGAAATTTGACCCGGATGCCGGGGTTACACCCCTACTCTTTTCGAAGGACATCCTGGGATTTTTTTTTTAATGACCACAGAGGGTCAGGACCTCGGTTTAACGTCTCATCTGAAGGACGGTGCTTTTTGACAGTAAAGTGTCCCCATCGGTTTACTGGGGCGTTAGGACCCACACCGACCACAGGGTGAGCACCCCCTGCTGGCCTCACTAACACCTCTTCCAGCAATCACCTAATTTTCCCAGGAGGTCTACCATCTAGGTACTAACCAGGCTTAACCCTGCTTTGCTTCAGTGGGCAACCAGTCTTGGGCTACAGGGTGATATGGCTGCTGGCTAGGACTGACTGTCTGCCATGTTATTTTGCAATTGATGAAATCAGATATTGAATACCTGCATAGGTCCTGTAGTAGCAGCCCATTCTCATCCCAAGGCGTCATCTAACTGACACTTTTGACCATGCGTCAACATGCCGACGCACATGGTACCCCTTAAGCGTCAATATGAGACGCGCCTCCTAGTGGTCTAACCCTAACCCTACCCCAGACCTAAAGCTACCCATAACGGAAGCGTCATCTAACTGACGCTAAAGGGTGCCATGAGCGTCGGATTTAGACGCATGGTCAAAAGCGTCAGTTAGATGACGCCCGAGGATGAGCATCTCATATTGACGCTTAAGGGGT